ATGGGCAAAGCCGTGCACTTGTAGATAACGTTCCTCTTCCCACCACACCTTCGGCACACCTGAGGAGCTGTCGGTCTCAGGGGTGGGGCTTGCATGGCGGTGATGAGCCTAGCCGGCTGAGCTCCTTGGCTCTTGGGGCTGATGGCCAGGGACACTGGATGACCCTTTTCTCTTGCAGGTCTACCCACCTGGGGGTTTGGCAGCTATACACCTGTCTCCCTGGGTCACATGCTTTGTTCCCATTCTTGTCCTGGCTGGACCAGCCACCATGGGACCAACACCCCCTCCCACACTCCCCTAGATCACTCCTCTGTCACCAGGATCACTTTGTACTTTGTGCAAACAGGTCTGACTGTCCCTCGGCGTCTTTATCTCTGCTAAGCCCATTGTGCCTCTGGCTGCTGTGTGTGAGCGCGTGCGCAGACCCGTGCATTTTCTCTGTTCAGTCATTGCACAAGATATTTATTGAGTGCCCACTAGGTGCCAGGCACTGCTGCTGAGTCCTTGCAGATGTCTCTTCCATGCCACTCTTGCTTCTCTGGGGGCCTTCTCTGTGCTTCTCTTCGTCCCCAAATGCTACCTCTTTGTCTGGGTGTCTCAGGTTCCGTGTGTCCTGTGTGCATTTCTCTGTCCTTGTCTTGCTGCAAGGCCCTCTTTCTCTCCCTTTCTCTATCCCTGAACCCCACCCCACCCCCAGGCCCCCCTGGATTATCTGGGTCTCTGTAGGCCCCTGGACTGCCCTGGGCCGGTGGCCTCCCTGACTTCCTGCCTGCGTCTTCTCTCCCTCTGACTCTGCCAGTCAATTCCCACGGAGCCTTTTTTAGCTCCCAGCAGCATGAGAATGTGCCTCCTCCTCCAAAGGCTTTGTCCTGATGCCCCAGCCCCGGGGCCCAGCCTGTGTTCCAGGAGTGGGGCCAGGAGGACTGATTGGTCAGTGGCAGAGGCCCTGGAGGGGGGCCCCAGAGCAGATGGTCCCCATCCTCCCTCATGAGCACTGGGTGGGTGGTGGGTGGGTGGCATCCAGGCCTGCCACTCCCCGTCTGATCCTCTCCCTGATCCTCGGTTCTAGGGAACAGGTCTCAGCCCCTGTTCAGCTTCACAAGTTATTTCCTCCAAAGAGCTGGAACAGCCCTAGGATCAGGGTGGTGACTCTAATCCCACAGGGCCAGAGGTGGAGTCCGGTGCCTGCCTCCCGTTTTCTGCCCTCCCCACGTCTCTCCAGGCTGTTTCTTTTTTATGACTGTAAACATAGATAGTGCTTTATTTTGTTAATAAGATAACGATGAGTAACTTAACCAGCACATTTGTTTTTCTGATGGCATAATAAAGACAGACCATTTCAGAATCTAGTCCTTGCATCCGGGTAGAGGGAGGCTGGCCTAAGTCCAGAATTCCTAAATGTGCAGCCAGCCCCGGACGCTGCTGCCCCCTGGTGGTCACACCAGGGCACTCCAGGCCCAGGGCTGGGAGATACTGTACATGAGGAAGCAGGGCCCCTGCTCCAGGAGGGTGCTTGCCCAGGTCCCCAGGAGGAAGGCACTTGGTAGGAGCTCTGTAATCACAGTCATGAGACGGGGGTCTCCCCAGAACTAGCCACAGGAGGGGTGGTGGGGGAGTCACTTAGGCCTCATCGACCTCATCTGAAAACAGTAGGATTAAACTTCTTGGTTCTTACCCACTCTTGGAGAATGGGCTCTTTGAGAATCTAAAGCAAGCTGCGGATTCTTGTCCTAGAAAGGGCTCACTCATAGACATCTGGAAGCCCATCAATGAGCCCTCTCCATACTGATGAAAGAAGCAGGGTCTCTAATAACATGCTTCAGGACTCTTAACTATGACTTTATGCTTCAAAGGAGAAATACGGAGGCCTGAAAGGGCCATGACTGAAACTCTTCAAAATGCTTATTGATGAGGATCTATTGAAAAGATAACTCTTGGAGTTAAAAGGTTAGGGCTGGCGGTAGAGCAGACCTGTAATCCCAGTGGCTTGGGAGGCCTGAAGCAGGAAGATCAATCAYAAGTTCAAAGCCAGCCTAAGCAACAGGGAGGCACTAAGCAATTCAGTGAGACCCTGTCTCTAAATAAAATGCAAAAGAGGACTGGGGATGTGGCTCATTGGTTGAGTGCCCCTGGGTTCAATTCCTCAGTACAAAAAAAAAAAAAAAAAAAAAAAAATTAGGGCTGGAACTTAGAGATGATGTTTGCCTAGTGTGTCTGAGGCCCCAAGTTTGAAAAAATTCAATCCCATCCATAAGGAATGGAAGCAGCAAAGCTCAATGGCCATTCTTGTGTGAGAGACTTGGGCTGGATTAACAAGGGAAGAGGTGAGGCCACACGGTCCTGGACTCTCACTAAAAAAGGCCACTGTCATCTGGAGGGGCCTGGAAGCAGGCACTTGGCATGGAGGAAGACTGGAGGGATCTTGGTGGACATGCCCTTCGAGAGTGGTCAAAAGGACAAGGCAGAAAGAACAAGATGGCCTCTTTAAAGCTGCTGGCTGTGCAAGAGTGTAATATTCTCTGTAGCTCACAGGACTGGAGTTGGGCCCCGATTCAAGGATCATTATTTTAGTTTTAAAAAATAACTTTCCAACAAAGATGTTCAAAAGTAGAATGGACTTCCAAACACAGGAAGCATTGAAGCAGAGAGGCTTGAATACTGGAAGAGGGGTTTCCAAATTGGGGAGTGGGGTGGGGGAGGTGTGGTGAGTTCAAGGGCCACAAACCTGGGAAGGTGTGGGCATGAAGATTCCCCAGGAACTAAGGTCCTGGTCATTGGATCTGGGGGCATCCCACTGCCAGCCCACAGGCCTCTCGTTGCCCCATCCCTCAGAGCTCTGCCCACCAGCCTTACCCTGGGGCAAGCCCAGCCTCCAAGCTCCTGGTAGAAACAGCAGGGGACAAGTGGGAAGAGGGGGCCCCCTAGGGGTCACCAGGGAGAGCTCAACTCCATTTCCAGTGGCCATCTCCACCCTCCCTCTCTTCCAAACCCGACCCCAGAAGTCTCCTGGGGACTGTCCCTCACAGTCCCGAGTTCCTCTTGCTTCCCTACTGGGTCCTCTGTGGCCTCGCGAGGTTCACAAGAATTCCTGCCAAAGGTACTCTGGGTACCTCTGTCCTCCCTCCAGCTGCTGAGACCGTCACAGGCCAGGCCCTGTGTGTACTCTTAGGCTGACTGGAGCCCCACCCCCGTCCCATGAGAGGACGGGGTCAGGTGGGTTGCAGAGGCTGGGAACAGTGTGTCCTGGTCCTTACCAGGAAGTGTGGGCCACGAGCGTGCTTTCTGTTCCCTCCCTGCCTCTCTTGGAGGCCAGGTTCCGAAGTCCTTTCCCTGGAGCTCTGGGAGAGGGTCTAGGAAGGGGCCCGGGGTGGAGCCCAGAACTTGGTGCTGATCCAGGAGGGCAGATGCCAGTTAGCCTGGAGTGGCAGTGACAGGAGAGGAGGAGGGGCTCGGCTCTGTCAAGGAGCAGGGCTGTGCCTGCATAGCCCGCCCCCCCCCCACTCCACCCGCGTCCCTCCTGGAACCCTGGAGGAACAGGAATGTTTTATCAGCACAGGCAGCGGATGGGTGCTCCATCCATGCACACGGTGGCCASAGCCTGCAGGACAAAGTATACCTGGGGACTTTCTCCCACTCACTCCCTGCTCATCACTGCAATACCAGCCAACATGCTGTGACATCAAGGCCCCAGGAGGCTAGAAAAAAAAATGGACTTCAGTGGTCAATTCTGCCCTCAGCTTTAGAGGTGCCTTGGAGAGGACAAGGAGGGGGGGCACTGCCATCTAACACACTGGCGGGTCGTGTCCACGAGCACCTGCCCCTGCAGATGACACTCAGGACCTCCTACTGGCCAGCTCTGACCACCCCTGTGTCTAGGTGCGCATTTTCCCCATGTCCTCCATTAGCACCCTCCGTGGAGGGCCTGGCCACCCGGAATCACTGTGACCTTGAAGGCCTCCGAGGCCGGCCTGCTCCATTGGTTGCCATGGCACCCTGCTACATTTGCAGGCAAAAGCCAAACAACCAGAGTCCACCTGGCAGGCGGCTGTTGCTGTGGTCACTGCTGCCCTTAAGGACTCCAGGACTCTTCCCTGAGTTTCTGCTCTCCCCTCCTGGCCTTCCGAGAAACAGACAGACTGGGTCCCCAAATGTCTCTTGCCTTCTGTCAGCCGGAATAGCCCCCCTTGCCACTGGGAAAGCTGGAAGCCAGTGAGGACCAAGGAGGGAGTCCTGGCTCATCACCTTGGCTGGCCAAAATTCTCGGGATCCACAGCCCAGCTCCCTCTAAGCGGCACTGTACCAGGTCGCCGAGTTCCAGCAAGAAGACGGGCAGACAAGCCCTGAAGCACCAGTCCTGCACCATCGACAGGGACCTGGGACCCTTGGAAGCCAGGGGACTGGATGTGGGAGGTGTGTGGGCTCCTACCACTTTGACTTGAGCATGGAGCAAAGCCCAAGGAGCACACCTCAGATTCCCCACCTCTGAAGTCCTAACCACATCCCCCAACTCAAGCCCTGGCCATTGTCCCTCAGACACGGAGCAGTCCAGAAATGAGCATTTTAATGCAGAAAAACCACGATAATTTACAAATGAATCACTATATGAGCCCAGAGCCTGGAGGGTCCCCAGAGCTGTGAGGACAGAGGGAGGTGGGMGCTGTTGGGTGTCAAGAACACCCAGCTCAGTCAGCACCTTTCAAGATCTGGTCTGGGCAGGCTCCGAAATGCCCAGCCGAGAGGTCCCTGGCCCTCCGCTCCTTGATTCCCACCTGTCACTCCCAGGTGGGAAGACCTGGAGGCGACTTTAGAACAGAAGGTAGAGATGGAGAGACAGATCCTTGGAAGGGAGGCCTGGAGGGTACGGGAGGGAGCAAGGCAGGAGGCTGCTTCTGGTTCACGTCACCCCACCCTTGGCTTGATCCCCTTGGGCCAGGCCACAGCACAAAGCAGAGCCAGGCTTTGAGACCCAGGGCTGATGACCGGCTCCCTTGCCTCTCCCAGCAGGCTGCAGAGGGACAGACAGCTCCCTTTCCTCTCCCAGCAGGCTGCAGAGGGACAGACAGCTGAGGCTCAGGAGGGTGATCGGAGGGAATCAGTGTGGAGAAAGGGAGGGGGTTCTGGAGGCAGCTGCTGGCGGACCACCCCTCCATCCTCAAGACAGGTACATCCTTCTGCCAGATTGGCATGCGCTGGTTTGGGGCTCAGCACCTCCCATGTGGGGCATGCAGGGGGACCGGCCAGGGCGCTGGAGGTAGAAAGGAGCCCTCCCTTTCCCCCGCCAGGAAGGGTCAAAGAACATCTAAGGCAGCCCCAATACCAGCAGGCCTAGGGCTGGGAACGGTGTGCTTCCCAGGGGTGGTTCCGGTCCAGGCCCTGGCTGTGTGCAGGCACTTCCTCCCCAGCCTGGCGAGGTGAAGGGGACCCCCACAGTTGGGTCCTATCAGCCCCTCCAAACAGGAGAATGGGGTCTTCAGTGGCATCCACTGGTGGCCTTCTCCCTGGACACCCACCTGGCCCCTCTCCCACCTTGTCCAAGGGTGCAGACCCCAGAGCAGAACCAAGCCCTGGAGAACAGGTCTGGCCAGGCGGATGGGCAGGGGAGGAAGAGGGAGACTGTCACTTTGGCATCTCCAAGGCTGAGACTTGAGGCTTCACCTTGAAGTACTGGTTGAATCGGATCACTGCGTACCTGTCAACAGATAGGGAAGGGAGTCAGGTGTGACCCCCCCCACCGGGGCGTCCCTGCGGGGGGCTCTCTTCCTCACCAGCTCCTGCGGGGGGCTCTCTTCCTCACCAGCTCCAGGCGTCTAGGCTGGGGCAGGATTTTATATATATATTTTGGTTGGAGATGGACACAATCTCTTTTTATTTTTGTGGTGCTGAGTATCGAACCCTGTGCCTCACACATGCGAGACAAGCGCTCTACCACTGAACTACAACCCCAGTCCACAGGATTGATTTAAAAAAAAATTTTCAACTTATTTTTTTCTAGATAAGACTGGAGCCACTTTTATACAAACACATTAGATTGGAGTTTTGTTTTTGTTTGATATGTATGTGGTCATTCGATGCATCTCCAGAACTTCTCTGCCTCGCAAAACTGAAATCTGCACCCATGAAACACGGCTCTCCATTTTCTGCTCCGCCAACCCCTGATAACCACCAATCACCTGTGTCTACAAATGGAATCATCATATATTGCCTTTGTGACTGGCTTATTTCACTGAGGATAATGTCCTCTAGGCTCCTCCGTGTTGCATCATATGACAATATTCCCTTCCTTTTTAAGACTGAACAATATTCTGTTGTATGTTTTCCATTCATCTGTTGATGGACACTTGGGTTGCTTCCATCTCTTGGCCGCTGTGAATAATGTTGCTATGAACATTATTTCTTTGAGAGCCTGGGGTTTTGTTTTGGTTTTGAAGCAGGGATTGACCCCAGAGGCACTTTGCCACTGAGCTACATCCCCAGCCCTTTTTGAAATTTTGAGATGGCATCTGGCTAAGGTGCCAAGACTGGCCTAGAACTTTTGCAATCATCCTGCCTCGGCTTCCAGATTCTGTGAGATGACAGATGTGTGTCACTGCACCCAGCTCCTGCTTTCGGTTCCCCTGGCTCTATCCCGGGATCGCTGGGTCACAGGCACTTCATTTTCTTTTGTTGTTTTTAGCCATTGATGGACTTTATTTATTTGCATGTGGTGCTGAGAATCGAACCCAGGGCCTCACGCATGCTAGGCAAGCGTGTTACCTCTGAGCCACAGCCTCAGTCCTGGCACTTCATTTTTTAGTGTTTTGGGACTTTTGTGCTGTTTTCCAAAGTGGCTGCACCATTTCATGTCCCCAACAACAGTGCACGAGTTTCCAATTTCTCCACATTCCTGCCAATACCAATTCTGTGGTCTTGTTGGTGTTTGGAGCAGATACTCTGACTGGTGGGAGGCAACAACTCTTTGTGCTTTCCACCTGCATTTCTCTACCAGTGACACCATCACTTGTCCAGACAGGGGTCCTCCACCCTCACAGCTCTTCTACCCCATCTCTAATGGCTCTGGACACCTTTAGACCGGGGTAGCCATTTCTCAGGGCTCTTCTCCTCCACCCCTGTGCCCACCTTCCTCCACTTACCCCTGCACTCACCTGAGGAAATCAAAGTTGATGGTGGAGTACTGGTTCTGGATGAGGGCCCAGAGAGCCCACAAGAAGTGAGATGCCTGGAAACAGATCAGAGACCATCAGCCTGGCCATGCCCAGGCTTGTTAGGGGCCTCACAGGGCAGGGAGGACATGGTCACTCTGGCAGAAACTTTGTGGATCTCCCCAGCACAGGCTGAGGAGACTGCTGTGGCCAAGTCACTCGGCAGCACCTGGGGGGACTTCACTGTCCTACTAGAGAAAGACACACAGGGGCTAGAGGTGTGGGGCTCCGTAGCAGGGCACTTCCCTGGCATGCACAAGGTCCTGGGTCCCAGCACTGCAAAAACAAAACCCAAAACAAGCAGAACTAGTGCACCCAGGTCCTGGCGTCCCCTGTTCCCGCCCAGGGCCACAACAGCAGGACGGTGCTTCTAGGAATTTCAGTGGTTGCCTGTGCAGGACACACCTTTACCCTCCTTCGAAGGCTAAAGACAGTGAAAAGGATGGGTTTCACTGTAGCATGAAAGGCAGAGGTTAGACCACAGAAAGAACTACTCATCCAAACGACAGAATTACTAAGATAGGAAGATGAGATTTGTAAGTATTTCTCTAGAAAGGAGGGAACCTCGACGGGATGGAGCTGACAGAGCAGGGAAGARGCCACCTTGGTATGAAGGGGACACCTAAGATGGCTCCTCCTAGACCACCTCTAGGGTGGGGGTCAGAGCTCCCTGTGGGTCCTGGACTCTGAGTGGAGGGCTGGGGCTCTCCTTCCCCTGCCCCCTCCCAGCTACAAGCACTCACCAGGGCAAATTTGTTGACTTGCACATAGAGCCGCTCCACCTCCCTGGGGGTCACAGCTGTCCCCTTCTGTGCCTGCAGGTAGTAGAGCAGCCACTGCAGCTGGGTCTCCCTCGACGGGTACCTGCTGTAGTCGACCTCATTCACACCTGATGGGGGAGCAGGCCAGACAGAAGGTGCTGGGAGGGCCACCTGGACAGGTGTCCCTCCTCCTCTAACACTGCCATCTCCCCCGACCTGCAGGCTGGGCCCAAGGAGGCCCCAGGGAGGTGCCTTCTCTGACTTCCAAGCTCCGCTGATGGGGCCTGGGGTGGGGTGGGGTCTTCCCCATCCCAGTTGGGGACACTGCTTCTCTGGGCTAAGTAAAGAGGAGCACTGTCCTCAGAGTGACAGCGGCCCTCCAGGGTGGCACCACATGAGCACTGTGCAAAACCAGGGCTCGAGAAGCCCTGGGCCAAAGCRCAAATGAACCCCAGGAGCCTCAGGTCTCCACCAGGCCCCGCTAACCCCAGACAAGCCCTTCCTCCCCCCGTGCCCCCTGATTTTCATTCTCAGGTGAGGGAGCTGCACTTGGTGGTGAATTTCAAAAGCTGCTTAGACCTATTTGCACCCACCGGTGTCAAGAGGCTCCTTAAAAACACCCCTCAGAGAGCACCCCCCACGCTGTCCAGTTCTCTGGATGATTCTGACAGGTGGCCAGGCTGGGCACCCGTGGACCAGCACCACCTCTCTAGAAGTCCTCAAGCTGCCAGCCCATGTCGTGCCAGACATGGTGGCAGAGACCTGGGCATGAGAGCCAGGATGAACAGAGGTGGTTCAGGACAGGAGCAGGCCTGGGACACCTTCCCCGAGGCCTCTTCCTCCCTCTCCTTCTCTGGACTCTGCTCTGGGCTGTGGGTAAGGGGGACTTACAATGCTTAGGAATCATCCGTTCTGCCAGGGCCACCTCTGCTCCAGGTCACACCTAGAAGCTCAGCTGCTCTGTCCAGGGGGTGGCTCTATAGGTGGCCCCGGCATCCCTTACCTATCCTGAGCTCCAGGGCCTGGCCATGTCATGCTGAGTACCCCACACTGCCAGCCAGGGGACACCCCTCCGGCCCCAGGGCCGGCTCCATCTCTGGACCTCCTCAGTCTTGATTGTCTATCTCAAGCCCTGGAGCTGGAAAAGCTCACGCTGCTTCCTCTACACGAACGGTGGTCCTGCTGTACAAATAATACCTCTAGGGAACAGTCGCCTACCCTCGGAATCTGTCCCACCTCATTTAGACGCTTCCATGGCAGCTGCAGGAAGGCCGCCCTACCTGATAGCAGCAGCCAACACCAACCATTTGCTTAGTCTGTGCTGAGGGGTGTCTGTGACTCAGGTCACTAATACGAAGCAGATATTATTACCATCTCCATTCTACAGGTGCACAGAGAGGGTCAGTAATCTGCCGGATGGTCATACAGCGGCAAAGCTGTGTATGTAACTTCTAAGTAGCCCCATCTAGTTATGCTCTCCAGGTCACCAGGCCAACAGCTCGGCCCTGCCTTATCTGCATGCAGGGCCCTCATGTATAACCGTGCAGAATAAGGGACCCGGGACAGGGGCAAGTAGAGACAAGCCATCCTGTGTGGTGCTGGCCGTGCTGGCATGGGCTTGTCTGCCCAGAGGTGGGGACTTTTTCTAATTCACATGCAGGACAAGTATCCCCTGGGTCCCCACAGAGGAATTATTTTCCTGATTTATACCAAACTGCCACAAAGGCTAACAAAGGTGGGCTGTGTGTGKGGGGGGGTGGTCCCGTCTCCCCTGTGAGACCTGAAGCTCGCTACAGCCAGGCTGTGCCTCCCACCTAGAGCTGTGACAGTCACAGGACAGGGACTATCTAGTTGACACCCTCCATGGAACCACCTTGGGTCCCGCCTGTGGACCTAATCCCATCACAAGGATGGGGACTTGGGTACAGGCCCAGCAGAAATGCCCCTCACCTGCAAACTCGTTGAAGTGGTTGCCAATGTCAAAGGCCTGGTAGTTGTAGCCCGTGTACTCGTAGTCGATGAACCGCACGTGACCTGGGAGGCAGAGGGGAGGCCATGAAGTTTGGCCCAGACCTGGCAACAGGGCCCAGTCTCCGGAATGCGCCCCCTGGCTCTTGCCGGCTTTTGCAGCTTCTATCTGTCCACCTGTCCATCTGTGCCACCCCAGCTCCCACCTCCAGCTCTCCCCAGCAGAAAACATTTGTTCTCAGCATGACTAGGGGTCTGAGCTAGAGCTGTGCACAGGCAGCCCTCCGTATCCACAGGCGCCACCTCCGTACACCAACCAACTTCCGTAGCAAACATGTGCAGACATTTCCTTGTCATTTCCTAAATAACATGGTATAGGAACAATTTACAGAACATCCACACTGTCTTAAGTACTATGGGTAACCCAGAGATGGTTTACAGTATACAGGAGCGGTGGTGCACACCTGTAACCCCAGCAGCTCAGGAGGCTGAGGCGGGATTTTGAGTCCAAAGCCAGCCTCAGCAACTCAGCGAGACACTGAGCAACTCAGTGAGACCCTGTCTCTAAATAAAATATAAAAAGGGCTGGGGACATGGCTCCATGGCTAAGTGCCCCTGAGTTCAATCCTGAGTACCAATAAATAAAAAGTATACAGGAGAATGTGAGTAGGTTATTTAAAAATACTATACCATTTTATTTTTATTTTTGCAGTGTTGGGGAGGGAACCCGGAGCCAGCTACATGCTAGGCAAGGGCTCTACCATACAGCTCCACCACCAGGCCAGCACCATTTTATATAAGGGATTTAAGCATCCTTGAGGGGTCCTGGAGTCAATTCCCCATGCACACCAAGGGACAAGTGTACTTTCTGGGGGCAATGCCCTCGTCAGAGAAACTAGGAGGCTCACTCCCTCTGGAGGCTGGGGCAAGTCCTGTTCAAGAGGAATGGCTAAAGTGGAGGACCTCCCCAGACCATGATTCGGAATTCCTTCCTGGGATAGCTTTTTCTCCAGGAGAATTTCTTGTCTCCTTTTCTATAAATTAACTGCAGGGGCTGGGGTTGTGGCTCAGTGGTAGAGCGCTCACCTAGCACGCGTGAGGCCTGGGGTTCGAAACTTAGCACCACATTGAAAAAAAAATTGGGGGTTGGAGCTGTAGCTCAGTGGCAGAGTGCTTGCCTAGCATGCATGAGGCAGTGCGTTCGATCCTCAGCACAACATAAAAAATAAAAAAWAAATAAAAAATACAAAAATAAAGACATTCTGTGTATCTACAACTACAAAAAAATAAATTTATGAAAAAAATAAATAAATTAACTGCAGATTGAAACCCAGATCTGTTTTGGCTTGTCCAAAGGCCAGCCCGAGGAGCAGATGCCCAACCCACCTCCCCCACCCCCGGCCAGGCCAGGGGAGCTGTACCTTTGGCACTATCATAGATGATGTTCTTGCAGAGCAGGTCATTGTGACAGAACACCACCGGGGAATCCAGCTGGGACAAGTGCTCCTTCAGCCAGGACAGCTCCCATTCCAACACCTCCAACTTAGGGACATCTGCAGAGAGGCTGGACAGTGGCAGAAAGGTAACGGTGGAGGGAGGGCCAGTCCAGATGGGCAGGCACCGGCCTCCAGGCCCCCGGGATCCAGGCTCATCTCTCCCCTGACTGCAGAGGCCTCGGACAATGGCCAGCCTCTGAGACCCTCACTTTTGCCATCCCTTTTCTCAGCTTTTCCCTAGGCTTCCTGTCCTCCTAATTTCTGTGCTTACAATAAGTAGTGGATTCAAAACCTGGGCAGGAAAGCGACTGGCCCAGATAAAAGTCGCTGACCAAATGGCATCCCTGCTACTTCATGAAAAGGAAAAGAAGGTAGAGAAGAGGGGCAGTGAGAGCCAGGGTCTAGATGGAATGATTCCAGACTACGGGAGGCGGCGGCCCACAGAGGAGTGGGGGGAGATGCCGAGCAGATCTGGGTCCAGGAGCGTGGGGAAAATCCCCAGGGAGAACCTGTAGCTTCTCCAGTGAAGGAGTAACCATGCCCTGGAACTGTTGGAGCAAAGGCATCCTCTTGAAGCAGCAGAGGCATGTCCTGTTGTGTCCCACTCCCACTCCAGCAGCTGACAAAGTCACAGGTGGAAGGCACTGGGACCCTCTGGCCTAACCTCATGTGGTACAGAAGCACCTCTCTGGCCCAGCAAGAAGGCAAAGTGCTGCTGGGCTCACTCCTTCCATGCCAAGGGCACGGAAAGGTCTTCCAGTACTGCTCTGACGCTCCCCAGGATGGGTCCCTTCCACCTTGAATTGTGTTTCCTTGTCCTGGACCCTTGCCAGATGGTACCTGAGCAACTTAAGGGGATGAAAACAAACATGCCCCACCCACCCCCATTTCAGCGGCCATTTCTGATTCAATCAATATGCATTGAGAAATAAATGAATTGGTCAATCGGTGGAGTCACAACATGTTGAGGACACAACATGTTCAGGTGCTCTGAACTTTGGCCTCTCAGAGGCCCACAGGTCTGTGTGTGCTCAAAAACCCAGGACCGTGGGTTTTATCATCTCCACTCAGGAATCTAGGCCTCATGTCTCTGTGCCCAGGGTGCAGAGCCCCGAGAAGGGGAATGAGGTAAGCATGGGCAGGACATTCAGTGGCCAAAGCGTTCCCACGGCCCCTCTGGAAAAGGAAGAGTCTGCAGGCTCCTCCCCGGCTTTGAGAAGGTCAAAGCTGAAGGGGATCCCAGATCCTGTGGTCCAACCCCACAGGGAAACTGAGGCTCCAGGAAAGACAGAGCTGCCTCCGGCCTCCACGCAGCTCTGGACTCGGAGCTTCCCAATCCAGGCGAGGCTGTGCATCTCCCCGGAGGCCCAGCGCCTCGGGCTCTGGGGTGCTAAGAGGCTCTGGGAGCCAGGAAGGCCGCGGAGGGGAGGGGGCTCCCCTCACCCGCACTGGACTTATCTCCGTCCACAGCTCTGCATGCGACAGATTTCAATCTTGACGCTCCTTAAGGAGCCACTTCCTTTGAAGACTCCTCTTTTCTTGGACTGAGACCATCGAAAGATAAGGAGGAGGAGGCTTCCTCTGGCTTGCCCAGGTCCCAGTCTGAAAAACATGGCTTTGACATCCACACGCCTGCTGCCTGGTCCCTGACCTCTGCCTGACCCCTCCCCACCTCCCTCCCCAAGGCCACGAAGATGGTTACTGTGGGAACCATCCTCCTTCCTATCTCCCTGGCGCCTCTGCAAGACCAGGAGTCCCTCCCCTGAGCACTTGAGCTCCCACCAGCTCTGCCACCTTCAGTCCTGATGCCACCAGATTCTCCCAAGGCTGTGGGGTTGGCAGTAGAGTGACCACTGTCACCTTCCAGAAACCCCAYTCCAGGCACCTCAGGGACAAGAGAAGATGGAGGGGCGAGGGTTCCCCAGGGATGCATTAGGAGCTCCTGCTGATGAAGGGGGACTCTTTGCCTGGCTCTCTGTCACTCAGGTCTCGGATCACACAGGACAAAAGTACTTTCTCCCTTCGGGGGACTTTCTAAACACTCCAGCTTCCTGGATTTTGACCTTTGCCCTCCCACCAGCCCACCTATAAGTCTCTATTTTTTTTCCCCCTCTCAGTATTGGGATTGAACCCAGGGGTGCTCTACCACTGAGCTATAGCCCAGCTTTTATTTGTTTGTTTGTTTCGAGGCAGGGTCTCTCCAAGTTGCTGAGGCTGCCCTCAAACTTGTGACCCTCCTGCCTCAGCCTCCTCAGTCACTGGGATCACAGGCATGCGCCTGGCCAGTATTTCCTTTTGATGTCCCTGAAGTGTTTATCAGTCCCACATTCCCCAAACCACCCTGGACACTTGCAGGGCCAAACAGACCCGGTGGCTATCAGCTCCGGGTGCACATCTCTAGGTCTCCTCTGCTCTCCACCTGCCTCACCCCACCAATTGTTCTAGAGCAATTTTCTCTCAAAGTGTAGTTCCCAGAGCAGAATCCCTTGGGGAGCCTACCGAATGGCAGATTCCTGGGGTCCAGCAAGACCTCCCCATCAGACTCTAGTGTTGGGCTGGGAATCTGGGTTCAGAAAGCACTCCTGGGGCACCTTCTGCTCCAAACTTGGGAACCTTAGTCCTAGAACTTGCTCATTTAATGACAACACTCCTCCACCCGTCTCCCTACCTCTAGTCCCCACCCTGCCTCAATTGTCACCCAAATCTGTCCCTTATGGTACTTCATAGCTTCCTTCCTAAGCTACATCCTTGCTCAGACACCTGCAGGACTTTCCACAGCCCRCTCACTTTAGTCCTGGTTCCTTAGCTGGGCATTGAAGTCCCCACCTCTAGATCCAAAGTGCCCTGTCTCCCTCCCCGCTCTGGACCCTCCTGAAGACCTCATGGCCTTGGCCTCCTTGGGCAAACCCTGCTCAGTCACCTTCTGCTCCAGCTAGAGTGGCCCCTGCTCACCTCAACCAGCACCCCTGCTGAGCCTTCCCTTCATTCCCCCTCTCAAACCCTCCACATGCATGAAATACCTCGCCTTCTTTTGTAGTCGAGCTTGGGCAGGTCCTGTTTACCTAAATGACTCCTAAGCTCCTTGAGGACAGGGCCAATGACACGGTCATTTTAAAATTTTTATTGTCTTAAATCCCAGTCATTCAATGTTTGTGAAATGAAGAACTGGATAAACCAGGGTTAGGAGTTCAAGGTGCTTTGTCTAGTTGGTGTCCAGGATTGCTCAGCACAGGGCAGGGGCTCATCTCCTAAAAAGGCTCTAAGAAGTTAAACCTTAATTTGTCCAATGTCAAAGGCATGACAAGAGCAAAGGGAGTTGGCCAGCTCTTCTCCAGGGATCTCTCTCCTCCCAACAAGGACACCTCTCCAAGGTTACACAGGGACAACAGCCAAAGGACACTGCAGAATCAAAGATCATGCCTGAGCACCAGGAGGCACCCCAGTCCCTGAGCTGCCACTGACCAGCCATGACCTTGGGCAAGTCCCATCCCCTCTCTGGGCCTCAGTTTTTCCTGTCTGTCGAACCAAGTGGTGGATGGAGGGTCCTGTTCTCCATGTGTCTTTCCAGTCCCCAGGGAGAAGGGTGTCCTTGTTCCAGAGATAACATGTGACACAGGTCTGAACATGGTCAAATAGAGGGCAGGCTGGGGCCAGCCTGGACAAACAGTCCCAAAGCAGCGCTTGATAATCGTTAAGCAGGAGGGTYCAGATAAAGTCACGTGTGTGTTCAAGAGACACACAATGGGGACAGGGTTAATGAGTGTCATCTTAGAGGAGGAAGGAGACACCTTCTCCCAGATTTCCCATGGACCTCTAGAAGGAAAATGATGTTCAAGTTAATTACATATTTCCAGAATGGCTAGTGGAGAGGACTTTGAACATTCCCAACACAAAGAAACAACCCATGAGGTGATGGATACACCAACGCACCCGATTTGATCATTATGCATTTTATACAGGTATCCAAATAGCACACTGTACTCCATTAATATGTATAATTCTGTTAACTTAAAACTTTTTAAAATGTATATATTTTTTAAAGTGATTTTGAACCTAGCAAGGTGCATGGAGAGATTCAATGATGACTTTGACTTTTGGAGGGGAGGGATAAACAGGCCTCTCTGTCCTTCCTGGGTACCCCGGGGTGTGCTGGGAGTCAGGTCTGTCTGGCCAAAGAGCTGAAGGAAAAACTCGGGGCACCCTGCCTTGCCTGGGGAAAGGCAGTGTCAGTCCCTGGAAGGAGTGGTGCAGGAAATAGCAAGTGTCAGCCATGTGGGCATGAGAGGAGGCCAGGCAGGCAGCAGGAACAGACATGACCCGAGGGTTTGCTGGCTGTTGAGCTGTTCTGTTGAGTGACTCTGAGCTCAGTCCCTCCCTGTTCTCAGAGCACCCTGCCCTCCCACTGTCCAGAGGGCAGCTCAGGCAGAAAGAACCCCAGGCTGGAAAACAGAAGCCCTGCCTGGCAGCCTGCGCTGGGGAAAGCTCTGTCTCTGAGCCTCAGTTTCCTTTAAGTAACACGGAGAGAAGTTCCCCTGACCCTAGTCCCTGCCACCATCGAAGACTCAAGGAGAAATAAGCTCATGTGTATACAACTGCTGATCCATATTTTTAAGATGCAATCAACCGGCATAATCAGCCTGGAGACCGAGGCCCAGCAACTGGGACCAAAGGAGCTGCCAGGGAAGCTCTTGACCCYATCCCAGGCCCTGTCCCCTACACCTCTTGTAGTGGGAGCAGGGGGCTAGAGCCAAAAGAACAGGGACAAGGGAGCAGATTACAGCAGCAGAGACAGTGGCAGCCTTGCACCCTCCCAGACCTTTGTACCTGGGGTGGATCTCATTCTTCACCAGCGTGAAATAATTGTGCATCTTGTGCCACAGGGTCGGCTTGGGCAGGCTGCCATTGGCGTGGATGGCGTGAATCTTTGCCATTTCTAAGGCAATTAACCTACAGTAGCAGAAAACAGGAGGGGGGGAGAGTGTCAGTGCTGGGCATGCCCTCCCCTCTTGGTCTCTCCTGATCAGACTGGGCAGGGAGATTCATGGGGACGCTAGCTGGAGGGCCTAGTGTGGGATGGTTACAACTCTTTCAGGAGCAAAGGTCCCCCAGGAAGAGAGTCTCAACAGAAAGCATGAAAATGTAGTAAGACCTTCAGCCCAGCAGCTCGGTCTCCGGTCCCAGAGCTGGGCTGCTTCAGAGAGCAGGCCAGAGCAAAGGGCTCTTGGCCCCACGTCAATCTCGCCCCACCCCAGTGTTTCTGAAGTAGCCATGAAAGCAGGGGTACCTGGGACTAGGGGTAGTGTCCTTTCTCCCCCCTGGGCCCTGCCGCATCCTCTCAGGGGAGGTGATAGCAGGTCCCTTTCCATCAAAAGATCAGGGGTGATGGTGGCAGGCGGGGAAGAAACTCAGGCCTCTTATCAGGCTGGCCAAGGTGGGGAGGGAAACCAGGGGCTGGGGCAGCCCTTCCTTGGCCGCAGGGAGTTGATGCTGGCGGCAGGGTGCCAAGGACGCGAAACAAACCAGCGTTCTATTTTCAAGTCCTCCTGTGGACATTATCCAAGGTCCCGGGAGAGAAGGAGTGGGCGGCGGAGAAGGTTGCTGGGAGAGGGTGGGGGTGGCTGGAGGCTGACGGGTCAGAGAGGGAGGGCCTTGATAAGGGTCCCAGCGCTGAGGCCTGTGTCCCAGTGGGACTCCCACCCCTCTGCCAAGCCCTCCCTCTGCACCCCCACCCCCACCCGTCTGCCAAGCCTCCGACAGTCAACCTTCCAAGCTTTTTTGCCTCTGCCTGTTGCCCAAATGATAATCACTAGGAAAGACAACAAAGGCAGGGGCTGTTTACAGAGCTATCCCAGGGATACCCCTTCTCTCCTGGCCCCATGTGGGAAGGGGCAGGCCATGCCCCATGGTGATACAGGGCAGCTTCAGGCCTCCTCCAGAAGCYCCCAAGGGTGCCACCTCCTAAAGGGTAGAGGAGCAGGGGGTGTGGCCGCAGCTCCAAGGGCGAGAAAGGAAGGCTGGGTGTTTGGAGGCCGGAGGTCCTAGGGCAGGAGCTGTGGGCAAGGCAAGGAAACAGACCTGAGACCCAGGCCTGGCCTTCCTTCCCAAAGGAAGATTCCGAACAGAGCATGAACAGAGCGTTTCCTTGAATATCAATAGGACTGTTGTCTGAATAGCAATGAAAGTAACCTCGACACTCAGCATTTTTTTTTTTTTTTTTGCTGCGGAGCCTCAGCAGAGGGGCTGGGCTGTGGGCTCAGGGGAACTCGGGAGGGTGAGGCCTTCCCCTCAGACATCCACCCTCACCCGGAGGAAAATAGTCTGTCCTGGGGAAAAAAAAAAAAAATCAAGGAAGGGCCTACCTCCTTCACCTCTCCGGATGTCTGGCTCTCCCCCAAATGCCAAGTTCTTATTATGGAACCTAAATCCCTCTTCAATCTTCCTGACAGTGGCAATTGTTTCCACCGAGAGGATGAGTGACAGCATGAGGTTCGCAGAGGCGGAGGGAGACTGGGAGTGGTGGGGACCTGCCAATGTTTGAGCCTCTTTGCACAAGACCAAGGGGGAGCTGGGAGGAGCTCAGTGGGAGAAGCAGGGCCTGGTGCCCACACCCTCCTCTGACCTCACATCTCCAGGCTGGGTGCATTTGGAGCTGTTCGCTGGAGACTGAAGCGACCCTTGCACAGGTGTGCACGCCTCGCACTCCAAGCACAGCTACAAGGCACAACTCACGGGGCCCCAGCAGCCTGAGGCAGTGCTCAGGAGCATGGAGGTGAAGGGGCTCTCAGACTCCCCCGAGTCCCTGGAGAGCCGGGTATACTTACTTGGGCTAACTGGGTGGCAGGTGAGGAAGCAAAGATGTCCTTGGCCTACCCTCAGGTGGACCTCATTGTTTGCCCTCAGTATGCAGAGGTTTCCTTTCCCTTGCTTTGCACAGAAGAGAAGCCAAGGATCTAAGGCAGACCCTGCACGGCTGTCCCCAATAACCTCAGCCTGTCTCAGGACTCACTCACTGATGCCCTCRGCAGGGCTCATAGCATTGTGGGGAAGAGGAAGGACATGGCTTGGTACCCTTGTTGTGGCATATCCAGAGAAGTACACTAGGGACACTTTGATTAGTCCYTTTATGGGCCCCACAGCAGCATCCACAGGGTTTAAAGGTTAAGTACAATTTCTAGGYACTACACATCCAGGTATTTATGGGGAGGGGCCCCCCCAAGGGTCATGGGTTCTTTGAAGCCCTTGCAAGGAGGCCTCAGCAGCTCCCCAAACCTGGATTCYCACACTGTCAGGGAGCCCCAAAAGAGCTCAGACCAGCAGGAGAGACGGTTCTCTCTGTTCCATAAAGCCATGCACACCCTACATACAGCCCATTTTCCTCGCACACCTAAGGCCTTGCAGAAGGTGAGGAGAGGCAGGAAAACCTGAGTGTGTTCCTGTGGATTTGGCTCGGATTTCATTTCCAAAGTTCTGAGATGTTTCCAGGTCAGACCAGGGGTGGGCAGAGATTTGAGGCATGGGATCAGGAAGCAGATTTCTGCTGCATTTCAGGAACCAGAAACTTGGGTCCAATGTTCATTAAAATTCTCACTTTCCTCCCCCAGAGCTCATCCTTCTAGCAAACTCCAATGAAAACCCACAGAAAGCCATCGCCTCTGCAAAGCAATGCACAACACACACACACACACACACACACACACACACACACACACACACGTTCATGTGATCTCAGGGAGCTCACAGATCTCCTTCTCCTCCATGGAGACCACTCTACAGCAATGAAGGGAGCCAAGGATTTCAAAGCTCAAGGCCAGAGGAACAGAGATGAATAGAACCCTGCACCCTCCTTACCTGAAGAGCCGGGGATCTTGGATGTGCTCAGGCCCCAGGGCCACGCCCTGCATGTACTCGTAGCACAGCCCRTTCTGAAAGGTACAGTAGAGTTTGGGAGCACAGCCATGTGCTCGCAGCAGCTGGAAGTTCCTGACCTCATTCTCCCGGTCTACCAGCAGCTCTGTGCGCTCCCCGTACACCCGGACCAGCACGCAGTCCTGCATGTCCTCCTCCACGTAGCAGGCCACCAGCTTGTTGGTGATGCCATCAGTGAAGCGCTAGCACAGGGAGAGGACAGCTGTGGGTGGGTGGGGCAGGATGTCTCTGGTCTCTCCCCCAGTGCCTCAGCAGGAGAGGCTCATTTGAATGCTGGCCACAGCAACATATAACCCAGTCCTGTCCCTAACCTTAGGATAGACTAGAGAGCCCAAAGGGGGAAAAAATGGCAGCTTGGGCTCAGCGAAGGCATACTTTTTCCCCTGGGTCTGACCCTAGTGGATGTGATTTGGCAGTAGAGGAAAGTCCACACTGGGTGGTGGGTAGAAGTCCCCTCCCCTCCCTATTCCTCCATCCCTGTCCTGAAAGACACCCTATGGACCAGAATGTGGCAGAGGAAGACTGGGAGTCACSGGGACAGAATGTCCTGACCAGCTGCCTCTCACTGTTGCCAGGCAGAGGGCTCTTTGCTGTACCTCTGGCTCTATCCAGCAGCAGAGGTACAAGGAAGGTACTGAGGTTGGCACCCATCCCAGGACTTTGGAGGCCAGAGGTCCTTGGAGCCTCTGAGTTCCATACCAGCAGAGATAGGAGACAACTGGGCTGGGGCACAGGCTCTACGGATAGGGTTATAAGGAGGAAGAAACCATGGGTTTGAGGGGAGGGCACATTATGACAGAGCTTTATGGGATCTTAGAGGACACTTGGACCAATTCTAGGTGGGGAAACTGAGACCAGGAGAGGGAGAGGCTGGCAGCTGAAATGTTAGGCTGGTTAGTGCTGGAAATGACCTCAGATCCCTTGATGTCTTTTTTCCTTTTCCATATTGGGAATTGAACCCAGGGGTGCTTTACCACTGAGCTACATCTCTAGCCCCTTTTTATTTTTTATTTCCAGACAGGGTCTCACAAAGTTGCTTAGGGCCTTGCTGAGTTACCGAGGCTGGCCTTGAACTTGCCAACCTCCTGCCTCAGTCTCATGAGTGGCTGGGATTACAGGCGTGTGCCAACACCACAGGCTGCTTGATGTCTTTTTTTAATTATTTGCAGGTGGACACAATACTTTATTTATTTAGTTTCATGTGGTGCTGGGGGTGGAACCCAGGGCCTCACACATGCCAGGCAAGCGCTCCACCACTGAGCTAACCCCAGTCCCCTGCTTGACGTCTTAACACACCAAACTGGGCCTTCTGAAAATGCTGCCCACTCCCTGGAGGGTTCTGTCAGCCTCCACATTCAAGTCCAGAATCTCCCCAGAACTTTGCCTTTCTCTACCCAGAAAGCCCTTCAGCATGAAGCCGTAACGGCTCAGCTCCTGCCTTCATAGGCAGCCCCGAGGGGGCGTGGGGGTGGTGGGCAGGTGGAGGCCTCCTTTCCGAGAATGCAGGTCAGCTGGGGAGTCAGCCTGGCACTGCTCGGTGGGAAGCTCTGCCCACAGGTGTATCAGGGAGAGTGTGTCCAGCTAGGGTGGGCAAGGCGCCTATTGGAGGTTAGTGTGTGTGCGTGCTGAGTCCCAGCCTGCAGTCACGGTGAGGGGCTCCATGCTGGCTGGATTCCACGAGGTGGCTCCAGGGACTCTAGGGGCTGCTCACAACCTGGAGGTTTTGCTCCCACCATGGAGGTGGAGAAGGGGTAGCAACACGTGTATGGTGATGATAATGGGGTTCCCTTAAAAGTTCTTGCCTCCTCAGGTTTCACAGCTGGCTGGGTAAACGCTTCTGGGCAGCTAGGGGCACCAGCAAGCAGGGACAGGGGGGTGGGGCCCGCACGCGCAGCATGCTGACAGTGGGCAAGTGGACCTCCCGCGAGCAGAAGAACCCCGAGAGGAGGCGTGTGTGGAAGGTCCAAGGAGGCGTGCGCCTGGCTTCGCTTCGGGACCAAAATAGACGGTGGGATAAACAGGCATACAAACCACGACCCAAAGCTCTCCTGCGAAAGCGGTCGCGCACCCCTGGGACCGGCACCCGGAAGGATGCATGGACAGGCGTCCACGCAGCCCAGCTGCAGCCTCGGCAGGGCCCCATCCCGGCCCCGCGCCCGCTCGGCTACCTTGGTCTGAACTTGCTCCGGCTTCCAATGCGGCCGCAGCTCCTGGATGAGGCGCAGGGCGCCCGGGAGGATGTCGTCCTGGTCCACCCAGACGCTGAAGCACGGGACAGCGGCGGCCCTCGGGGGGCCCGGCGGCTCCCGGCAACCCGCGCTGGCCGCTGCCTTCTCCTCCATGCCCCATGAGCACTGCGGGCAAGGCGCCTGCCTCCGCAGGTAAAAGGGCGAGCACGGCAGAGGAGCCGAAGGGGGCACAGCCATTCCCAGCAGCCCCACCCCCTCGGAGCCGCCGCGCGAGCGCTAGCCCCTGCGGGGGGGCCCGGCGAGGGAGTGGGAGTGGTAGAGGAGGGGCCAGGGGAAGTCCATGACTCAGGAGCCAGCTGCCCGCTTCGATCGCCGGCTCTCGGCCCGGCGCCCGAAGCCGACCCCGGAACGCCGGGGCCCGCCGMGATTGTGACATCACGGGCGGCGGGCCACGGGAACGCCCCCTGCCCGCCCCCGCCCCGGCCCGCGGGCCGCCGTGGAGCGCCGCCAGCCATCGCGGGCAGCTGTGGTCTCAGCTACCTGGAGCGCGGGGTGGGGGGTGACGCCCCCCGGGGGGGGCTGTGACGCCGGGGGCGGAGCCTCTGCAGGATCCGCCCGCGGGTCCCAGCTGGGGCTGCTCCGGGCACTCTCCGCGGCTTTCCCAGCAGCTGGGCAGGGGCGGGGAGGGCTCCTCGGCSCCCCTCCTCATCCTGGGTTATGGAAATCCGGGTGCTCCCAAGACATCAGCTTGAATCCCCCCCACCCATCCTGGTCCCTGCTTCCTGAGCTCAATCCCTGGGCCCCCCCGGAAAAGGATCTGCAGGAGTGGCCCTTGCTGCATCTCCAAGGCCCTTCCTTCCCTGCGGGGAGTCCCGGGTACTCCCCACCGCCACCACCACCTCACACACACATATTTAATGGAGAGGGATGTTGGGAGATGGTTTTGGAGGTGGGCATGCTAAGCCGGCAGACTTTGTCTTCTGACAGGTCACTGAACCTTCCAGGGCATTGGAGTATTGGGGCACATTCTAGGCCAAGACTTTGAGCAGGACTGAGTTTTGGTCAGTAATAAATTATTATAGCCTCCCTCCTGACTCAAGTTTGATTGGGGGCAGGTAGTAGCCCAGCAGGTGTCCCTTATCCCCGTGCTTTGTTGGGCAAAGGGGTGTGGAGGTGGATAGACTCTGGACTGGCCTTTTGGGAGAAGAGGTAGAAGCCTGGCATAGGGCCAAAGCAGGATAAGCAATATCTGGGGAGTGGGACACAAGAGGCTAGCTGACAAGGTGTGCCAGGGCAGTTGCTATGAGGAAGAGGAGATGTGGAGAGGCCTGACCAGCCTAGGGGGAAGCCACTGTTAGTTGTAGTCTTCACTACTCATTCTGTCACCTCCTGTTGGCTGCCATCACTCACTGTCCTGCCTCATGGACCTCACTAGTCACCATCTTACATTGTCTCACTCAGTGCCTACAGAAAAGGGACCTGTTTCTGTGTCCCCAAGTTATCCCTTTGGCCTACCCAGGAACCTCTCAACCACAAGACCCTATGATTATTTCTGTCCATAACCCAGCTCTGCCCTACTGAAGTATCTGTGCTGTCTAATGCAGTGACCACTGGCCACAGGTGGCTATCGGCACTTGAAATGTAGCTAGTGTGACATTGTGTTTAACTTAAATGTAAACAACCTCATGTGGCCACTGTATTGGACAACATAGCAGATCATGGGGGCCTGCCTGCTTCAGGTCATGGATCCTTAGGATTCAGGRCTGAAAGAACTCTGCCTCCAGCTTTTCCTATTTTTGGTACCAGGGGTTGGACTCAGGGGTATTCAACCACTGAGCCACACCCCCAKCCCTATTTTATATATTATTTAGAGAGAGGGTCTCACTGAGTTGCTTAGCACCTTGCCATTGCTGAGGCTGGCTTTGAACTTGCGATCCTCCCGCCTCAGCCTCCTGAGCCACTGGGATTACAGGCATGCATCCCCATGCCCTGCTCAGTTTTTCCTTTTGCACTGAGAAAATAAAGCCATCCCTGGGGTCCCATCTAGTCCCAGGAGGCTGCATTCCTAGAGGTACCAAGAGCCTGACTGGAACATTCAGAGACTCATATTTTTCAGGCAAAAGAGGTTTGAGTAGCTACGTTAAGGGACAGCATTAGTGGCTTCAGGTGGCTGCTGCTTTCTTATTTCCCAACCTACACGYCTGGACAGTCCTTGGGGTAACAGGGTGAGAAGAGACTCTGCCTAAGGAGTCTCAAGTCCATGAGATGGAGGATTGTTGGGAGCTGCCACATAGGAACCCAGCATCCCTTAGCCTTGAGCAATGAGAATGTGGAGATGTGGCAAGCCARCCATGGGCTGTGTGTGTGTGTGTGAACTATGAGCATTGAGCGGGCAACTTATGCATCTTTTTGCTGGCTCTGCCTATGATCCCCACACAGCACGAGATGGGCGTGGCCTTCCTAGATGTCAGTCAACCTGCTGACAGCAAGACATCAGGAAGCTAGACTCTACCCCCTGAAACCTGACCTCTTGCCTCATTTGAATGGCTTCTCCCCAATAAAAGGGTTCAGCATGTGCTGTGCTATTCTCCCCTTTCTTGCCTGCGGCTGAGGACTGGTCACTGAATCCAAATAAAGGTACTTTCTTGTGTCTGTGTCTTTATTTATTCCCCAAGTTCACTTGGAGTGACCTTGACCCGTTTAGTTGTGTGACGCAACGGAGGATAGCAGTGTAAGCATCTATGCGCCTACACGTGCCTACACGTGACCCTACACATGAGCTCCTCCTACCTGCGACAGTTCCAGCTGTGCAGGATCAGGTGGAAAACCTTCAGGACCTGAGCCTGACAAACTGGGTTCTAGGCTTAATTCTTCACTACCTGATTCTTTCCTGAGTGATCTTGGGCAAATGCTTTCCATTCAGTGCGCCTGTTTCCCCACGTATGAAGAGGGGGTACTGGCTGGATCTTTGCTGGTCTGCATTGTTGGAGGATGGTGCCTTAGACTGCCTGTGTAAATGGCCACACCGGGTGGGGCAGGGTCTGCAGAGGAGCAGAAGCAGGAGAAGGGAGTTTCCCAGCGTGTGGAGCACAGAGTCTGGGCTTGGAGAGGGCTCCGTGCCCTAGGGGCATCTTTCTGGCCCACAGCTTCTGCTGCAGCATTAGCCTTGATCCCTGAGGGACTGGAAGGGACTGGGGTTGACTCTCCGAAATACTTCCACCCAAGGTTGTGTAAACAAACTCCACCAAGCCCTGTTGACAACAAACAGATGGCATCATCTCTGCATGCAGGGACCTGTGCAACGGGGTGAATTGGAATTTGTTTGGTCTTTGTCACATTCCTATTCACACATGACCATGCAACTTCCCCTCTCTGTTCCAAACGCAAGTAAATCCAGATGCTATGGATCATGAACATGAAGTCTTTATTCTCAGAGCAGGGAAGGGCTGGTGCAGGGGGCAGGGCAAGCATCTAGCAGGAGCTCCACATCCAGTGTCCCCACATGAGCGTAGAGGCCAAGGCAGAGGGACTCAGGCTGAAGTCAGGGTTTCCGCAGGCAGCGGAGGGCTCAGCGGGCCAATGCAAAGCCAATACGATTATTATGCCGATCAAACTCTGTGTAGAACTTTCGGATGAAGCTGGCACCTAAGGCCCAGATGGGCCCAGTGGGCGGTGGGATGTCCAGGCCATGGAGGGCCAATGTGCACAGGTCCTCACTACTGTAGGGGTCCTGGCAGGAAGCAGGAGGGTTGTTGTACTGCTCAGCAAAAACCAGCCTCCCTTTGCCCTTCATCTGTCTCAGTAACATTCTACCTTCCCTCCCCCATTCACCTTGGGCCTTCATCACATCTTGGCCATCTGAACTCTACATGGATTGCTCCAGGGCCCTGTGCTAGAGCCAGGCAGGCAACCCACTAGGCACTGAGCTGCATTCAAGCACTCACGGTCTGGCTTTAGCTTCTGACCCTAGACGTGTGATTTCTCTAAGCATAGGAAGCATATGTCTATAATCCCAGTGGCTTAGGAGGCTGAGGCAGAAGTATCGAAAGTTCAAAGCCAGCCTCAGCAAAAGTGAGGCCCTAAGCAACTCAGTGAGACCCTGTCTCTAAATAAAATACAAAATAGGGCTGGGGATGTGGCTAGTGGTCAAGTACCTCTGAGTTCAATCACCAGTACCAAAACAACAACAACAACAAAAAAAAACCCAGACTCATCAAGACTATCTCTAAATAGAGTTGGGGATGTTCTTCGGTGTTTAAGTGCCCCAGGTTCAATCCCTGCATATATATATATATATATATATGATTATCAGGAACATTTGATGAGAAAATGGATGGTGCTAGAGGGACAAACCAAAGACGGTGATTCACAAATGTGGCTCCACCCTGGAATTCCCTGGAGAGCTTTGAAACCACACTGCCCAGGTGCCACTCCTAGATGTTCTGGGTTCACAGGTGTGGGGTGGGGCCTGGGTACTGGGATGTTTAAAGGCTCTGCAGGTGACCTGAGCAGCCAATTTGGAAACCATGGCCTAGCATGTAATGTATGTGTTGCGACTTATCCCCCTGCAGGGGTCCTGCCCACCCCTCCTCCCTGCGCCTCACCTGTAACACATAGTCGGCACTGGTGAGCGTGTAGGCCCTGCCTCCCAGGTGGAAGGAGATGTCGGGGAGGGTGGGCACCTGGTTGCAGTTCACGACATACTGGGGAGGAAAGGGGTCAAGGGAGCCCTTTTGAGCGTGGGAACTCTCAGCAAACCCCACTGTGACCTGACCCCTCTGCTGGAGAGTATTATGCCGGCCCTGCCTCCAGGAGGGACTAGCCTGGTGTGGAGARAGTGAGAGGTGACAAGGAGAAGGCCTGAAATGGCCTCATTTGGGACCTAATGTTGCCTGGGGTGAYTTGGGGACTTGGTCCAAGAGGGTGCTCCCCCCACCCTGGGACCCCACCCCTTAGCGTCTTACTTCATCTGTGCTCTGCTCCTTGGCCCCCAGGGCCTCCATGACCAGCCTCAGGGAGCTGGTGGGACCCGAGATGTAGGATGCACCGGTGTCCACCACTGCCATGCAGCCCTCCTCACACAGCAAGGTGACAGACCCTATAGACACCCTGCAGGGAGGCCACAGTCAGACAGGCAGAAGGCTGAAGGGCACCCCCAGGCCGCTTATCTTTTCTGAGTGAGGATGGTAACAGGAGGCCATGCTGTTGGTCTGGTGATGCACTGGAGGAGGGGTGAG